AAACTTTTCGACAGCTCACGACCGGTTTCTCCCTTCTTGGGGCTCATCAGGCAGGCGCAGTCCGCAGTGAAATCCTCGTTATTTAGGTAACGAAAATTCGAACGATAAATCACCAATCACAAGCTGGAAATATGCGTGTTTTATTTGCTAGCAGTGAAGGTAGCATAATGTTTGGCTGAACAAAATGAGATGAATGGATCGGCATTTGGGTTTGACCAATTTACTCGGAGTGCTCACAGCATATGCGTAGGCAATGATGTTCTCAGCCACTTGCAAAAGCAAACGGAAGAAATGGGTTCAGTGCATTTAGCCATTAGTTCGCCATATTTTACATTAAGTTTTTCTTCAGTATTCACCATCACCATTATGAAACCGCGACAATTTCATGAGATTATCACGTAAATGTGTTTAACTTGGGCCTTACAACAACGAGTTGACGTGAACTGGGAACAAGAGGATAGTAACTAGAAACTACCTCCTGAATTAGTTCGTTAACAGTGATTTCCGTTATGAGCGGCTAGTCAACCACAGTGTTCTCTCCGACCAAGGTCTCCCTCTGGAAACTATTTAAGTGGTCTGTGTTACGACATTCTTTGTGAGGGTTACAAACAAAACTCGGTGCGCGTACGTCAACTGCAGGTGATGATGCAATAAGACACTAAAGTAAGTTTATTGTTTATCGTATTGTCAATACATCCATTTTTACACTCCAAAGAAATTATCACTCGAGGTAAAAGTAGAATCTCTACCTATAAAAACCAACACACTGCAAACAGTGCGCCAAATGCACCATGGTTTCTTGTTTCATTCGATGGAAATGTTTTTTCTTATTCACCGACACGATTGTGTAGCTCAGAAAATCGTACACGCTTTTCTTACCTCATGAAGAGTTTATTTTGTACGTCCTAACTTGCATGTGTTTACGAATGCGTGATCAGTCCATCCCCAACGCATTATTTCCCTTCAACAACGATCCCATGATTCCTTCGCAGCAATACATTCATTCTGCAGTGCGATTTTGAATTTGGGATATGCAGTTTCTGCGTACTTTCGCTCTCTACTGATAATAGACCCAAACAAACTGTTTCCACCATTCAGAGTAATAATATGGCATTCACATAAGGACGGCGAATTTTGACTTAAAACGGCCGCGAAACCAAAGTAGTCTGGATTAAGTGGTAAAGTACCTGTCTGCTAGGGAAATATAAGGAACCCTAATGAATACATTTTGTAGCTCTTGGAAATATTGATTTCGCAACACCATTAGAACTTATCTGAGCAGGCATGCAGCTCGTATATAAGTGTGCACGAGTGCAGCTTAATTCAACGGTTACAACAAAACTTAAATCGATAACATCAGCAGGACAAACCAATTACATCGCTCAAGCGTTCGCCTGTTAAGACGTTATCATTCAGGTGGGTCCAGGACGTCAAATGTCCTGAGCTCAATCTCCGACACCGTCAAGAATTGCAATATTGATGGACCCTGATGAGAAACTCGAATTTAGTGTCTTCTCAGCTTGATATACACTCACCAGAATGGTTCTTCCTAGAGGGCGAATGACTGTTAATCAACACGACCCACCGTGGAAATGTGCAGAAAATTTTAGGACGTTGAAAAATAAACCTAAATATTTATAATCTTACTGATTAACTGATATCAAGCTCTGTATATGTTCATCTAGTTGGATTCCTACCTATGTAGACGATGTTTGGTTCCATTTCAATCGCCTAAGGAAAGCTAATGTGGTGTAAAATTTTTATGCGGATTCAACCCTTCATGAGTCACTATTTTTCTGTTCCCCCAAGCAATTTTACTACGCCTTATTAAATAAAGTTTACGCTGACACTCATTTTTACCTCTTGCCGTAAGGAAGAAACTATTCACAGAATTAGTTACTAGCGTATGAACCAGGGCCAAATCTGCCTCACTGTATATTCACATCAAAAGGTCCGGTGTTCGTGTAGGCAGCAATGTCCCTCACTCACCACCGACATCAGAAATTCGCATGCAGTTCTTCAGCTACAACTCAGATAACTTGTTTTCAACGAATCCGCAGAACATCTTAATCAGCACCACAATCACGAGTAGGTCGACTCACCATCGGACGCATTGCTATGTTGACCCTAATACAGCAGTATTGGATTTCGGATCATGATATATACTGTCCACACATCCGGGTTGGTGAGCAGTTACTTCGAAATGGCTGCTTTGGGAATTCGCATACCCTTGATGTGGTCCATCTGCAAAACATCGAAACTAAACACGTGCTCGTGACATGTCTGTAAATTTTGCATGTCCCAGGATTTGTGGGAGCGAAGTAAATATAAAAAGTGGAAGTTGGTTTTTGGTACGTCATTTGTTTTACCAGTCAAGATTTCGCAAACTCTATTTCTCGTACTAGTTCTTGAAACTTTTTTTTGTTTTCTATTGAATCTAGTTAGAGAGGTATTGCAGATGACTTGGGACTATTTATCCACTTCTGTCCCACGTGAAAGCGATACCATAGAATAATTATCCGCTCTGCCTTCTCCGGGGTTCCGATGCAGGTTCGGAGACAGAAAACCTCGAAGCGAGCCCAACACCATCCTACAAACTTTACTATTCAAGGAGTTAAGGAAATATCACAGAATAAGTGCCATCATTTTTGCTCAGTTCTGGGTTTGCACAGGGGGAGATACTTCAATATCCGTACTATTCTTCCAACTGAAACACTGAAAAAGTCACTGTACAACATTTAATTGGAAAAAGTCCGTTGGAAAAGTCCGTTATGATCATCTTAATTTGTAAATGAAGGTTTAACCCCACAATTAACTCGCTTTTTCCTAAGGCATTTGAAGTGTGGAAGTCTCGAAAAGATGCTGTATTATTAAAACAAGCACGGGAGAAGCAGGAAAAACAAAAACTGTCCAAACAAACACAACAAAAGGAAGAGGAAGAGAAGCGTACGCAAGCCGAAAAGGCCTTCCAAGCTTGGTGCGTTTACATCCTATTGTTTGTTGGTTTGTTCATTCTTTATACAGTTGGATAGCTGGGTAATTTTGTGCACTCTTGATGGCTCGTTTTATAGTGAAATTAATGAAAACCATTATTTGTCCACTGTCGAAGTTCGGAACACTAGCATTCTTGTTTTGTTGTTAATGAAACTGTCATGAACCACAGAACGAATACAAAGAACAGCCATCAGACTGATCCAAGATGTAAGGAGATAAAGTTAAGTTGAACGATGGACATCACTGATTAGGTGTAAGTGAGAACACAGCGGAATCCGTGGGTGTTATCCTTGTGTCCATTTAAGTTTGCCTTTCGAAAATAGTTTCACTCTACGGAAGATCTGGCTTTTGAGAGCGGCGCCAGTATCTTCACTATTACGCCCAATAGATAAACAGTGGAACAGTATTCTGGCACGGCATACGTGGAAAAATTAAAACGCCTGCGAGATGCCCAGTTATGAAAACCATTTGGACACGCCAATAGATTGTTAGAAAAATCTACGTCTGTACACAGCACAGGTTCCAATAAGCTGGACAGAAAGAGGTAGCGGTACATTTGACCACACCTGACGCGAAACCCACCAAAACTGGAACTGGAAATTCTGGCTTTATGAAGTGGTCAAACAGCTCTATTTATTGTTCTAGCTGCTTTTAATGTCCTCTACAACATTTAAGAAGGTTCTCGAGCTACTTTTTTTTATAAACTTTAAGTCCAAATCAAGGAGCTTTTGGTGGACTGGTTCACTCGGGTCCACTTATTATGCTGTGTATATAGCATCAACAGGCTACCCAGTCCATTCACGTGGGGCCGAGCGTCTTGAATGTCTTGAGTTACTGACCACTCCGAAGCAAGGCATCGTTTGGGAACAAGATAGGTACCGAAAGATGGCGCGATGGTGGTCAGTCTATTCAACAGGGTTTTTGATTTTTATTTGTCTTAAAGATTAGGAAGAGTCTGCCTGCGTACTTCAGATCGGCAAAATTCTGACCAGAAACGACTCGGACAAAAGGGTTTCGAAGACCCACCAAAGTTCATTTCCGTATACCATCGATGATGAGTATAACCAAGGAGCGGAAGCAGCGGACATCCTTATTGGAAACTACACGTTATAAAGTTTTTCAGGAGCCACCATATATATGTTATATGAATATAAGGACCGAACTCATGAATCTCTGGGCATTTCCACCTGAGCGCCTCCCACCATGAACAGATAGACGCATTGATTTTGACAGGCACTGACTAAAGAATCCAATGTCGTCTTTAAGAAGAGTGGGTGGGAGCTGGAGTACAGCAAACACACTCGTTTAGCCCTAACACCCCTTCGGTGCCTAGTTGCCATACCACTCGTAGCGATCACAAGTGCTAGGATACTGCCAGGTTGCTCAAACCTAGACAGGAGAAGTCGAGATTGAGAGATCAGGTTCATACGACGGATCCTTCGGTCAGAAAATTCGCTCGCTAACCACTAAACTACCTCGCTCCAAAACCACAGTGACACTTTAGCAAAGATGTACGCCTGAATACTTTTGAGGCCGAAGAGTGTTCCGTATTCACAGTCCACGTTTGTGTGAAACAACTGCAGGACAGGAAGTAGCGAGTGATCAGATTAGTTGTTTCTCGAAGTACTCTGCCTGGCGTATTTTCTGTTCTTTTTCGGACCTCAGAGAGCCACTGTGGTCCTTGACGGTTACTCTGGTAAGAACCTTCAAGGTATATTTCAGCAAATCAAATGGACCAATCGGTGGATATTTCATACACTTTGCGCCTCTTGCATTTCTTCGACGTTCTGGCTCCACCGAGTTCCCTGGTCTGCGCAGACAGCTTGCTTTAATTAGCATCGCATAATGCGTCCAGCTAAGCTGTGACTGCAATGGGCAGGAATCTATTTTCAGGTCTGAAGCAAAGCGACTGCCCCATCATAATTCTAAAGCCTGGAGGACGTTGGCTAGGTTTTATCGCAGGTGGAAGTTCTGTGTATCAAGTACAGCTTCGGGTAGCTCTCTGCAGCGGTGGTTACCAAGTGGTATGGAACCAGTATCTAGGTGCTTCCTGAACTGGTCCTGAAGAGTTCGTCAGATTTCCCGGTCCATGAGATTCTCAATGGCCAAGCAAAATGTGCTTGACCTGTACACACCTTAAAAGAGCAGTGAGTGGAAGTAACGGACGAATACATGACTGGAATTCACGCAGTGGTTCCAAAAGAAAATGGATCCTGTCAACGGTAACCGATGGCAATGCGGTCTACCTTGGTTCGTCGGTTGTTCATTGGTATGCATTACGTCGTCAGACGATTGCCACTGTTTCAGGAAAACGACACACAGAAGTGGCAAGGCCCATGCGTTTTGTTTCTCTAATCTAAGACGACCATCAACTCGAGCCTCAGCAGCGCCAGGCCCAATGACTTGCACATTCATGTCATCATTCACCACAATGATGTCCAAGCTTTTGGCAGTAACATCCAGTGCATCGTAGAAACTGTCTTTGCCGGTATCAGAGCTAGTCCTTTAGGACATCGGAGAATTAAATAAGTGGGGAAAAGCCGGACCACTCTCTGCTCGAATTCATTCGTGAACGACCAGTCAAAGACGCTTGCGCCAGGTGTCTCAGGACAATATAGACCTCGACATGTCAGGCTGTAGTGGCCTTCACATCAACAGATTTGCCCACACTGAATCGCGAAGAGAACTAAGGATCAGCTAAGTCAGTCAGATTACTTGAATGATCGATTCCTGTTTCTTGCAAACAGCTTAAATCTACTTATCAACAAAAGTGGATTTTCCTTGCTCGCTTCAGTACGTGATCATCAAAAGCAGCTGAATAACCGGTTTTCATGGTTTGAAAACTGGGCACGATGTGTCTGAAGCTGTCACCGAGGGCGAACGCACAAAAATTACAATCAAGGGTGGTGCAAAGCTAACACAGCTATCAGTACCAGTGCTAGGACTTACAGAGAGAGAGAGAGAGTACTCATAATGAGGAGGAATACAAAGAAGAAAGAATACGTAAAACTGTAAGAAAGAAGTTACCAAGTGGTATGGAACCAGTATCTAGGTGCTTCCTGAACTGGTCCTGAAGAGTTCGTCAGATTTCCCGGTCCATGAGATTCTCAATGGCCAAGCAAAATGTGCTTGACCTGTACACACCTTAAAAGAGCAGTGAGTGGAAGTAACGGACGAATACATGACTGGAATTCACGCAGTGGTTCCAAAAGAAAATGGATCCTGTCAACGGTAACCGATGGCAATGCGGTCTACCTTGGTTCGTCGGTTGTTCATTGGTATGCATTACGTCGTCAGACGATTGCCACTGTTTCAGGAAAACGACACACAGAAGTGGCAAGGCCCATGCGTTTTGTTTCTCTAATCTAAGACGACCACCAACTCGAGCCTCAGCAGCGCCAGGCCCAATGACTTGCACATTCATGTCATCATTCACCACAATGATGTCCAAGCTTTTGGCAGTAACATCCAGTGCATCGTAGAAACTGTCTTTGCCGGTATCAGAGCTAGTCCTTTAGGACATCGGAGAATTAAATAAGTGGGGAAAAGCCGGACCACTCTCTGCTCGAATTCATTCGTGAACGACCAGTCAAAGACGCTTGCGCCAGGTGTCTCAGGACAATATAGACCTCGACATGTCAGGCTGTAGTGGCCTTCACATCAACAGATTTGCCCACACTGAATCGCGAAGAGAACTAAGGATCAGCTAAGTCAGTCAGATTACTTGAATGATCGATTCCTGTTTCTTGCAAACAGCTTAAATCTACTTATCAACAAAAGTGGATTTTCCTTGCTCGCTTCAGTACGTGATCATCAAAAGCAGCTGAATAACCGGTTTTCATGGTTTGAAAACTGGGCACGATGTGTCTGAAGCTGTCACCGAGGGCGAACGCACAAAAATTACAATCAAGGGTGGTGCAAAGCTAACACAGCTATCAGTACCAGTGCTAGGACTTACAGAGAGAGAGAGAGAGTACTCATAATGAGGAGGAATACAAAGAAGAAAGAATACGTAAAACTGTAAGAAAGAAGGTATAAACAGCAGCTGTCTGTTGTACACAGGAATAATGATGACCTGACTGATAGCACCGTACAACGGCCGATGTGGCTTCAGCGTATTTTTGGGCTGATATATTCATGGTTTTACACTGGCTGTGATAATTTCAGGAGACCCACACGTAGTTCAAAAGTCTGGGAGCAAGGTATACACCCATATGTGCATAGGTTTTAAAGTAGCAAGTCATTTCACACGTCATTACGCAAAACCTGAAGGACAAGGATACTGCATTCGTCTGGCCTCCACCGATCGACCAAGTCGGTAGGAAAAATTCATTGACTGAGTCAACTCAGCCTCACTATGAATAGTTCAATGACTCACGAAGGTGCACACTCCACTACACCAGGATCAGCTCCAGTATCTTGGCAACATAACTGCCATATACCATGCCACCTTCTTAATACGTTCACTTGCAAAGTGTCTTCAGTGATCATGTATTAACTAAAATTTGTTTGAATACTCACCCATAATCCATCAAATATAATAAGGCTCAGACAAGTTCTGCCATTAAACCACTAATCATTCCCGAAAACTCGTTTCAATCGCGTGATCACTATCTTTCGGAACAAATACCGAATTCTCCATTAATCCTGAACGAAAAGGCACTTCTGATGACAGGAGATATTCTGGCATGTTCCAACGGAGCTGGCTGCAGTCCGTTACTAACAACGACGAGTAGTCTGTGACTAACGGAAACTTTCGTTTTGCGACAATCATGTTTGAGCATGATCAACCATGGACACACCATATGTGGTGATGAACCGCTTAAACTGAAGACGGAATTACATAAACTTACGTTCACCCGTAAAAGTCGTTAAAAATGCATTCGCATCGTTATTTTTTGAAAAGCTTTTTCCTATTCTGCGTGCTTAGTCTGCTCGGTTCGAACGAGAGAAAAGGAGGATTGTTCAGAGTATTATGCGAAT